TTAGTGTTGCAACAGCTTTCTACAGAGTTGCCAACCTATATCGCTTCGACCAGTTTAGCCTCTTGTTGCAACAACTCTTCTCATAGTTTCCAACCTTCGTCGCTTAGGAGGTAGCACATGACACCTTGCATGGGCATCGAACAGCCACAAATGTCGACACTCCAACGCTCGTCCCAATGCTTCCCAACTCAGCAATTGAAGTTAAAAGTCCTTGTACTATATAAATATTCATACATGGACTTGCGGGACTATTGTTACGGGGCTGTGTCAGACCCTCCACCTCGACACCACGTGTCAGTAAAGGTGACCCACACGCCCGACATTGGCGCTGAGGTGATTGCCTCATGGGACAAGCTGGCTGTAATACTGAAGTGATTTCGTAAGGAACGAACTGAACAGGCGCCAGCGAACTAACCGGACTCATCCGCCAACAGATCGCCGATGTAAAGGCCCGCACTCCGCTTTCAGAGCGTTGCAATGCCTCACCTACCTCGTCTTGCCTCATCAAAGATCTCTTGTACAAAGGTCCAAAGTCAAATCACTTACTGATGGGACGCGTGGCAAGACTCGAACGGTCAAATCAACCGCTCTTGTCAGAAACACTCAATGCCTGCCAGCCTAGGTTGCACAGATTGACACCTAGGGTGGGACAAATTTTGGAGATCTAGCAACACGTGTCTCCTCATCCAACGGCCCTCCTCTTCCCATCCTTGGTATAAATGCTTCCTCCTTATGCCTGAAGAAGTGGTAGAAAATTCAATACACTACTACACCAAAACATTTAAGTATTATCTTCTCCCCCATATCTTTGGCGCTTTTATTATTGCACATTCAATCACTTTACGGCGAGTGTTCCACCGTCGGCGAACCCCTTTTTGGTTGAATTTCAGACTGACTTGACCGTCGGAGTGTTGCGGTCGCTCCTAACCCCTTAGGGAAAGGACGGAGTGACTGACGGTATGCCACGTGTGCAGGGAGGAGTTGACTTGAAGACCTTCTTCTGTTGGCCACGTGTTGGAGCCATTTTTCGATGTCAACATACGTTGTTCTCCATTTTCATCATTCATTTTACTTTCATTTCTTCAACAAACCAAAGCTAACTAACTCAACACATTTTGTTTCCATTAGTTGTTGGAACATGTGTTGGAACGTTTTTCACGTAAACCCAAATTTTTTTCTAACTTTTTAATTCTTCAAAAAATTACTATTCCAAAACTCATTATCCCGGAAAAAAAATTAGTGGCTACAAAACAGAGGCTAAAAAGGAAATAAATAAAATTTTAATTTAACCCGAATTTAAAAAATCTAAGAAGCATGTTTTTATAACAAATCCAAATCCTAAGATTTGAAGCATTACAAAGATATTTAAATATGAATACATTGGCACTATCATTGGTCGTTCATTGACTCAATTTTTATTCTCATAGAATCAATGTCCTAACAAACTGTCTACTAAAGCCAGTATCACAAAAACTTGATGCATCAATAAAGCTATTGAAGTGGACCATAGAACTTAGCCAATTTCAAATTAATTTCAAAACTCGTTATAATACTAAAGGACAGGTCTCGCGAAAATTGAAGTCTAACCCTGTAAAATACCAACGCTGAAGTTTTTGTGGATGAATAATCAAACAAGACCGATCCTAAAGCAAGATTATGCTACTAAGTCTGGAATGTCATACCTTGAATTTTGCGTTAAGATTTGGTGTTAAAGGACATATAAATGTAGCTAAATACAAAACGTTTTTCACGCTTGGGCAAGGAAATGAAGGTAAAGAAGATCTTTGTCATAATTGTTCATAGTGAAGGATAAGAGCATGTCTTCATACCTAAACTAGGTAATGAATCTCCTCCAACACTTTGAAAAATTTGAAACCAACCAAATCCCCATGGCTAACAATGGTTACGAGGACACTCTATTTATGCTTGCTAGGATAATGCTATGTGTACACCTAGTGGTGTAGTACACATAGCACAATCCATGCTTGCTAATTCTAGAGATTCTCAACTTTTTGTATTAGTCTCGGTTGAACACTTAGCAAGCCCCTCCATATCCAAAATTCGAAAAAAAAAAATCCAATCAAAGCCAATCACTCTGTGAGGATAACAACGAGACATGTAGGATCAAAATTAAGTCTGCTAAATATGATATGAAGGATTTTTTTTTTTTTTTGAAATGGAATGGAAATTCATTCAACATATCGAAATTACAAATGTGACTTATCAATACAGGAAACCCGACAATAAGCCAAGATACGCAAACTGTACTTGAGCACCCCCGCACATAGAGTGACGGACATTGTCTAAATTTCAGGATCTCTCCGAAGAGAGCAAGAGTCTCAACAATGGATCCAAAGTCCAAAAGCCATAACAACACAAATACTAACTAAACAACAAACTAAACACCACCAAACAATAACCCAAAAACAATACAGAAAATCCAAACAGCAAGAACCGTCGACAGAGCCCCGACGACACCCCTCCCGCGCAGGCATCAGCAACAGGAGACCCGACGAAAACGAGGACCCAGTTCGTGTACGGAACCCACATCTCCAAATCGGAGGCCAACCAAACATCCCCGGACATATCTCGTCTGCCAAGCTCACCGACCGAAGCACAAGCACACACAACCATCACAGGCAATCGAAACACTGCCAACACACCACCGTAACCACCTAAAAATCGTCAACACACCGCCGTAACCACAGTCAACCTAAACAAAAACAAAAAGAGATGGAAGGAGAGAGCCGAAGGTCCCACCCCCGACGAGCTCGTTAGGGTTTGGGTCGATTAGAGAGAGGTAGTTATGTGTTCAGTTTCACGTGAAAATGTGATAAATGCCAAATATTTTCCAATGTCCCCATACAACCCTCGCAAGATTTGGATTTTGTAATTAGTCCTTGGCGTTTCATGAAGTGAGGAGTAGATGTTTGGTTGGACGCTACTTGAACTCTTTTCGCATAATCTTATTTGAATTTTTTCTTCTTATACTCATTCTCAACCACATATTTTCTTAAAATACAATTTTGCTCGTGACACAAATTTTTTTTATTTTTTAACCACACATTCAAAAATTATTTTTCACTTCATATAATCTCTCCCAAACAAACATAGCCATTGTTTGGAAAGAATTTTTAAACGATTTAATTTATAAATAATTTTAAATAAGTGGTGGATAGTCTTTGTAGGTCCATTAGAGTGTGTTTTTTAAAATAAAGTTTGATCATTTATAAATTGATTTATAAAGTTTGCCAATTTGAGTGTTTGTGCGAAAGTATTCTTTAAAACTTGATTTTCTACTGCATTTTTCAAAAAAAAAAAAAATAAATCATTTTTTACATCCTCCATAATGTTTTTTAATCACATATTATCTCAAAATTTTACTTATTGAAAATGTCTCCTAAACCTGCACTAATCTTTTCACACATATATAAACATTTTGTTTTAAAACCAAAAATATAAAAAAATCCGTTGACTAAACCCGAGATCAGATTTCTGTAAAAGCCTCATCCTTACCAATATTCAAGGCTAAAGTGGGAAAATAGGAGGAAATAGGCATAAATGGGTAGGTTACAGTATAAGAGGGGACCTATAAATCTACAGTGGAGAAATGCAGGCGATCTGTCTATTCCCCTCACTATAATCTTCGCGCCATCGCACTGATTCTAGTAAAGAGTCAAATCTTTCAGATTGGGTTTCGATCCTAGGTAATTGCGAATAAAATCATGTTTATGTGTGTACCTAGATACTTGTTTGACGTAATTGAATTGTAAGTATTGCTCAATGTTGATTGTGAATTTTGAAGTGGTATGTATATGTTTTTCGTTGATTTTATTTGCGATTTTAGTTTTAAACCTGAAATGGGTCTGCATCTTTTGGGTTTTACAGCGGGTTGTGAACTCACGATTGTTTACCATGGAATTTTGCTTTCTATGTTGTTGGGACTAGACGGGGGTGTAATTTTTTGGTAATTTTGCATAGTTGTAATCGTGTTGTTATATTTGGATTTCTGAAGTTACGATATCTAATTTCTTGTTGGGTTTAATGGATTTGATATTTATGATGCAATTAGGATTCTCGATTGGGATTTTCACTTTGTTTAAATTTTGGTTTTATCTTTTTTTTTTTAATTTGTATATTTTCTTCTAATCAAAGAAATGACACTCTTATTATGCCCATACAGTATTAGATTTTAATTGGTGGATCAGCTCTCGATTTACAAGTTCTGCTAGGTTTCTTTTGAACTTTTGCTGGGTTCTTTTTTCGAAGTATTGTATTTTATTTTGTTTCTGTTCTGAAAATCAAAGTGGGTTCTTCTATTTGTTGTTGTTGATGTTTTGTTTTCATTGTTTTGAGTTTCACTTCTTAATTGGTTCTTTTCTTTAATTCTTTGGTTTTATCTGCATTTTTGTAGATTGAGTGTCAAGCATTTTTTAATTCTGTCATCTTTTTTTTTCTGGCAAATTAGTTGTGCACGAAAAAGAGCGCTTGTGATGTTGATCTGTATAGAAAAGATGGCAGTTTCATACTTGCATTTTAATGGTAACTAATTGCAAGCTTAGTATAGCAACAACTTTTCATGACATTCTGATCATACAAGGTAACTTGGAAACAATGCAATAATAAATGTTTATTCGACTGTGTATGGATTTGTCCACTTCACCGTCAAAAAACTTTGACTTAAATTATTTTCCCTTAGTAATTAAAAATTACCTTTCTTATGCTCGATGATTACTTTTTTTTGCATAAAGTTTGTTTACGTTGCTTAAGCATATGTGCTACTCGTAACTCATGACTTACCCAACTGGGTTTACAGTGAAATCTAGAAATCAGTACAAAGAGCGAAATTCATAATGCTAATTGGTTCTTGCTCAGTTTATTTGATTAATGCTTTCAAATTTCACTTGCAGGTGTAGTTTTTGTCCGCTGCTCATAGATTAAGCATTCTCATGGCTGATTCAGAAGAAAATAATGCATTGTTTCCTATTTTTATTTTGTCAATGATTGCCTTGCCCTTAGTGCCTTATACAATTCTGAAGTTATTCCGTGCTGCCTCAAAGAAAACAAAATGCATCAACTGCGAGTGTTCTGATTGCTCTAAATCAGGGAAATACCGTAAATCAGTTTTCAAACGGGTCTGTTACCTTTTGCTCATTTAATACTCTTCTATTTACTGTGTGGTATAGATATATTATGACTTCAAATTTACATGTGCAGATTATGAGCGTCTCAACATGTGGAAACTTGACTCTTGTGCTGCTATGGGTTATCATGGCTATTCTTGTTTATTACATAAAGCACATGAATAGTGAGGTACACACTGACCAATCCATGATATGTTTATACATGTTAACATGATATTTTCTTTACTTACTTTGAAACATTCTGTCATGTTTATCATGTATATCTATCATGTGCTTGTATTTCTTCAATTATGGGACAATGGATTTGTTTTGAGAGTAATGCTTTATTGGTTGACTCAGATTCAAGTTTTTGAGCCGTTTAACATCCTTGGATTAGAACCCGGAGCTTCAGATTCCGAAATTAAGAAGGCATACAGGAGACTTTCTATCCAATACCATCCTGATAAGAATCCGGACCCAGGTTCTTCTAGTTATTTAGTTCAGATATGATGTTTTAAGTTCAAATGTTATAGAAATCTTTTCCTGACCTGAAGTTGCCATTAAATTATGATTGTTTTGGAATTTCAGCTGCTCATAAGTACTTTGTGGAGTCAATATCCAAAGCTTACCAGGCTCTGACAGATCCAATTTCCCGTGAGAATTATGAAAAGTATGGCCATCCCGATGGTAGACAGGTAAATTATCACTGGGGGGGAAATGTTTTCTCGTACATCTGGATCAAAGTTGAATGAAAAGAAAAACTTGACATTATGATTTCTTGATTTAGGGGTTCCAAATGGGAATTGCTCTGCCACAGTTTCTTCTTAATATTGATGGCGCATCTAGTGGGATATTGTTAATTTGGATTGTTGGGGTCTGCATACTGTTGCCACTTGTGGTGGCTGTCGTATATCTTTCAAGATCTTCAAAATATACTGGAAATTATGTCAAGAATGACACACTGGGTGCCTATTTCCATTTAATGAAACCTTCCTTGGCCCCAAGGTACGTGTTACTAGAAACATATGTTGTTATTGTCATTCTTCTAGGTAACTCTTAAATTAATAGGATAATTATATGCCGGTATGTCCGATCATTTTTCACTAAGGATTAACCTAATGAATCTTTGCGTTATTATCTCTATCTAAATATCCACTAACCAGAAAAACTTGGTGAATTTAAATTAGAGATATTCTATTTCTTTATCCAAAAACTGTTGTCTTATTAAAATAGTTGCTCATGGAAACTGAAAAATAGTTTTCTTATTCTATGCTGACTATGGTCATGTTCCATTTTGAATAGAGGTGAAGTTACTCACACTACTGTTAGCACACTGTTCACATAGATCTGTGTCATTGCAACATTGGAAATAAGGACTGTTTGAGAACTTTTATGAATTTCCCTCATTTCTGTGAAAATATCTTTGTAGTTGAGTTTATCGTGTCATACCACTGGATATATATCATTGACTTGTATGCCACCATGATGCCTTTTAATTCGCAGCAAAGTTATGGAAGTCTTCATTAAGGCTGCTGAATTTGTGGAGATTCCCGTTAGGAGATCTGATGATGAACCCCTACAAAAACTTTTTATGGCAGTGAGAAGTGAGTTGAACCTGGACCTTAAAAATATTAAAAAGGAGCAGGCAAAGTTTTGGAAGCAGCATCCTGCACTTGTTAAGGTAAACTTGAAAAGAAAGTTTACTGCTTAGGTGGAGGCTTTTTGTTCTGTCTGTTGCATTTAACAATGGAATCCTTTACTTGTTTTGTGCTCTTCTGATCGTAGTCATCTCCTCTGTATTTCTCAGACAGAATTGTTGATCCAAGCGCATTTAACTCATGAAACAACAAATTTATCCCCGGATTTGGAGCGTGACTGCAAGCGTGTGCTGGAACTCGCTCCTCGCCTTCTTGAAGAGCTAATTAAGGTCATATATTTTCTGTACATGTATAAATAGCCATTTGTATGCATAGATATAGTTAGTTTTAAAGCTTTATAATTTCAATTCCTGCTTGGTAATGATGTTTGTCTGCACTTCTGAAGGTCATTCCTGTATTGCTAGTTAACTTGAGATTAAATTTGGGGATATACCCACCTTTAATAGTTTGCATATATATATTGTTAGGCATTGATGAAATATCTCCTTTTTCTTCTCCTACTTCATAATCTGAGCACATTTGGAAAGAAGAGTTTCTTATGAACATCCTAATACTCCGATTCTGGACCGACTTGGAAATTAAAGTTACCATCTCATCAATGTATTGATTTTCTATTGCATCCAACTCAGCTGATCTTAGTTGCAAAGAATATCGGCTATACTCCCTTGGGTTTTTGCCCAAACAGTCATCTATATCAACAGCCGACTTAACTGGTTTCTCCAGTGCAGTAAAGGTTTTGCTGTTTACAGATCCTTTATTCTCAACATTGATAGAAAAATAATTAAGCACCTCTGACTTCTTGTCTCATCAAAGAGAGATAAAAAATGGGTAACATAAAATTAAGTTACAGGAGGATGGAGAAATGGACAAGTATTTCATATACCATATGCTAAAATTTATTTTAAACAGAAATTATGATTTCAATTTGCTAGCTTTCTTGTTTGAGAAGAAGGTGACGTTTTTGAAATATGTCTGACTCTGGATTCTTGAATTGTGAGGCATAACTTAATTTTTTACTTTTCTGAACATGATTCTACACATTATGTTTTACTATTAGGTCATTTCAGTATTCTCTTCCATTTCATATGCATTGGACCTACCTCTTACTTTGATGAATTATTTGCTTACCATGTGTAGATGGCACTTATTCCAAGGACTAATAAGGGGCATGGCTGGCTTAGGCCTGCTATAGGAGTTGTTGAACTTTCACAGAGCATTGTTCAGGTATTGTTCAACAACATTTAGCAATTTATTTTTCATCTTCGGTAATAGAAAACTAAACTTATTATTCTATTTAACGAGATTTCTCTATTGGGAAAAAAGATATCTTTTTTTTTGTTTTTTGCATTTAACAAGAATATTACCGCAAATGGAAACCTTCCTGATATTTAACTGATCGAGAATGTGAATTTGCACATAAAATGGTCTGTGGTGCAGGCTGTTCCTCTCAGTGCGAGGAAGGCTGAGGGCATTGCTCCATTTTTGCAGCTTCCACATTTTAATGATGATATTGTCAAAAAGATAACCCGCAAGGTGAGATTTATTACCCCTACTTTTCTGATAATTTCTCCAAGCTGAAGCTATATCAACTAGTGGTCTTATCTGAAGACTTGGAAATAAAAATGGAAAAAATAAAGAAAAGACTTGACTATGAGAAAACCTGCAACTTAGTCAGGGAAATACAGACGTTGATTTAAAAACAATTTGGAAATTTAGAGGATCACCATACTACGTCATCGGCGTGGTTTTGTGAAAAGTATATTTTGGTTTGACATTAGAGGAGTAGATTTTTGTATATTTATACCATTCTGGTGTAGTGGGAAAGAGGAAATGCCATCCCTGAAATTTCATTTCTGCGAAAAAAAGTTTGCGATGAAGCTGAGTAGAATCGTTTATTTTCTAAGTCATCGAATATTCAAGAACATAATGCTGATAAGGTGATATTATGATGATAGTTCGGCTCCTCGTGTAATTTAGTAAGGCGAAATTTTATTGATGTAATTCAACTTAACAATCAAATTTAGTTGAATTAATGGGATCCTCCCTTCTCCCTTTTTTCATAATAATTTTCCATTTACTTGTTCTTCCCATGATCTTTATTCTTGCACTGCTTGCAGAAGGTACGGACATTTCATGAACTTCAGGAAATGACTATTGAAGAACGTGCTGAATTATTTTCTAAAGTAGCGAACTTCTCTGCTGCTGAAGTGCAAGACGTGGAGAATGTACTGAAACTCATTCCTTCTATGACAGTTGAAGTTACTTGCGGGACTGAAGGTGAGGAAGCCATACAAGAGGGTGACGTCGTTACAGTTCAGGCTTGGGTGACACTGAAACGTGCTAATGCTTTAATTGGTGCCCTACCTCACGCCCCCAATTATCCATTCCACAAGGAAGAAAATTTTTGGTGTTTACTAGCAGACACCAATTCGAATAGTGTGTGGTTCTCCCAGAAGATCAGTTTTATGGATGAAGCTGCCGCAGTAAGTGCTGCTTCAACAGCAATTGAGGAGAGAATGGAAGTGCTCGGAGCCAGTCCAAAGGAAACCAGCGCTGCTATAAGAGAAGCAGTTGAGAAAGTCAAAAATGGGTGTCGACTTGCAATGGGGAAATTCCTGGCTCCAGCCGAAGGAAATTATAACTTGACTTGCTATTTGTTATGCGATTCTTGGATTGGTTGTGACAAGAAATCGAGCTTAAAACTGAAAGTTTTGAAGAGGACTCGTGCTGGTATTCGCGGAGGTCAGGTTACCGATGGAGGATCGATTCTCGAGGATGGAATTGATGACGAAGAGGAGATTGAAGAAGAGGAAGAAGAGGATATTGACAGTGAGTACAGTGAAGACGAAGATAATCAGGATACAAATAAAATGGGACGTGCCAATGGCAAAGTTCGTGAAAAGAGCGGTTCGGAAAGTTCCGGCTCAGAAGAGGAGTGAAAAATCCTTGCTATAGTAATTGCATTGGTGAGATGACAATTTACCCCTTTCCTAGGTTTTAAATATTACAGAAGGTTTTGAGCCTAGATGTGTTACAACATTTCATACTCGATTATAATTGCTAGAATTTTATTTATGAACTTCTTATAAATTTGACTTGAAATGGAAAAAATAATAATTATTGCGCCCTACATAGGAATACAAAAAATATTTCTTGCCTATATTTATTGAGGATGGATTGACTATTAATTTGTTTTCTATATATTAATTTTGGATGACATAATTTATGAGAGGTTGGAAAAATCGGTACTAATTAATTGGCTTATTCAATGTTTTCGAGAGCCATTGTGCAAGATATTCAATGTATTTGACGTATTCTGGCTGTGTGTGAAATGGAGTCCGGACAGAAAATGGAACTTGGATAAGTTGGCAATTTCCTTTAACCCGAGTCCGAATGTTCAGGAGGAACGTCGGAGCTTCGTTGCTGATTCACTTGGCCTTGTAGGCATAGCACTCAGTCTAACACTTAGTATCTTCTGACTTCCAATTGTGGTAGGTGGAAATAAGAAAGAATTCTCTCATTAATTAAAGAAAAAGTGAGGAAACGAGTTTAGGGGGTGGCGTCGTGGACTCTTTTCAGCTGCTGGTTACAAAACTTTCCAAGTATTCTTTATTAAACATAGACGTTAAAATGGCCTCAACAAAAATAGGCGAAAAAAATATAGTTAGAATAATGAAGATGCTCTAACATGGCATTGCAACCAGAAGCAATTACAAAACCTCTATGTTACTGTGTCCCATTGCCGGTGCAAGCTAGTCGAATCCTTCTGAGAGTGGATACTAGTTCTGCATCAAAACAGCAGGAATATGATAAAACTATCTGCTAATCAGTTGCACGAGAAAATAGGCCCTTCTGACTCCAAGGAGATTGTTTAAAGAATACTCAGGCATTGGTGCACGGCGTGTAGCAGCTTGCAGAGTGCACAAACGAAAATGGGGCAACTCTATTATCTTCGGAAAGTTAAGTTCGTTGAAGGTAGGTTAGTTCAGTCTGGGATGCAGTCCTTTCAACAGCTGTCCACCACTCCTCGTCCTCTTCTTCACATGTTTCATCCTATTTGACAATGAAAAGGATAATCACGTTGTATAAATTACAAGATAACAGAGTAGTTTCTTCAATATGTGCTAGAGGAGTTCTTCATTGAGAACGCCCGAAAATACGATTATTTATCTATCAAGTTCGCAAGAATCTAACCCTACAAATGGAAACAGACATTGGTTGTCATTAAAAAGTTAAATCTTTCGTTTCCTGCAGTCAGTGGGAGCCAACGGCAGAAAATGGGAAAGGGAAAAAACGGGCATGTTTAATTTGAGATATCAATTGGACAAACTATCACAAATGTTTCTTATAAGTAGAAAACAGAAGAAGCTGAAGTGTGACAGAGATGTTAAACTAACCACCCCAGTTAAGTCCAGTGCCTTCTGTATATGTTCAACCTGGTCTGCAAATTCAATTGCTTCAAGCCACCACTTTTCTTTCTTGCAACTGTCGGGTATACTTCCATCATCTGCTAGATAAACATGTCCCTGGTTGTCACAGCCTCCAGGAAGATTGAAGTAAAAGGCAGAATCAGGAAGAACATCGTCAGGAATCGGACGAAGAGGTGATCGATAGCCTGGTAATTAATCAGCCCAGTAAAAGTTATTTTGTAGCATATTGAAATGTTGATAAATATACTAATACAGGTAAAAAACTGTACCTCTGCAATCAGGATCATGACACTTCTGATAATAAGCAGCCCTTCTTAGATCAACGACATATATAACTGAACCAAACATTAATATAAATGTTAACATCCAGCAGTTTGCTGTAATTGCAATTGGCAACGTATCTTAGACAGTACTCGACAATATTAAATTAGAAAGAGAAGCTAAAAGATTTGAACAGTTGATTTCTCAAAGTCAACAAATGATGGAAAGACCGTGCAAGTAATATAGATGCAAAAGAGGCCAAAATAAACAGAGACGCCATCACTAGAATCATAGAAAATATGCCGAAAAAACTAAAATATCAAGGATGATAATTGGCACAATAGAATCTGTAAAAGAAAAGATTTACCGTGATTGCTCTTATGTTGTCTGCCAATTCGTTCACAGTATCTATTTTTAGACATGCTATAAACCATCAATCCATATTCTGAGAACCAGTACCAGCTCCGAATTTTTCCTACCAACAAAGCAACAGGGAATAGACGAAACTATAGACTTTTAAAAAATATCAGACATGCCGGCAGAAAAATTGAGCATAAAATATTTTTTCTAGAAGATCTTTAATTTCATTTGAGTAATACGTAGTCTTTCGGGCATAATCACTCCAAAGACTATCAGAAAATAAATTTCAGTAACGGTGGAGTAAAGATGATATTTTTTAATCGGGCATAATCCCTCATTTATTTCATGCTTGCTCTATATTAATAGTAAACAAGTGAAAAAAAAATGGTAAGTATAATAATAGGTGGGTGAGATTATACATCACCCTCCATGGACTCAATGTCACATTAATAAATAGGTATGGATTGTGCCAACCCCTCATTTGCTATTGGGTAGGAGCCTAAAAACTCCTACACCAGCATACGTGGCTTTCCAAAAAAAATATTCTACTTACTTATGCTTGGGAAAAAAGAAAGAGAGAAAAAGAAAAACAAAGATATGTTTGAACACAATAATACCTGATACATTTCCAACGGAGGCAACAACAGTCTCTACAAATACGTCCAGAGCCGGGAACGGTGATTTTCCCATCAAGTAAGTTTTGGAAGCATCACTTGTACAAGCATTCAAGTGAAAGTCTCGAGGAAAACGAGAATGTTTAGGGGAACTCGTAACCTGCAAGAAATAGTATTTGAAGATTGATGATAGTAAGACACAATATGTCGAGGACCAGAAGAGAGTATGTATGTTTGTCTACGTGCATATAGAAATGCTTAAAAAACATGGATCTGCAGAGAGGCAAAGTTACCTCTGTATCAAACTGCAGCGCCTTCACGCAGTCTAAATCCATTTTGCATATTAGAAGCTTCTCACAATCAGCATCCATGTTGCAGATTAAGGATTCCATAAACACTTCTCCTTCACTCTGTCACACATATTAGAGGTTATTTAGTGCAATACTGATAGGTACCCAATTATATGAAAATAACAACTGAGAATTGGTATTGAATTAATGACGGAATTACAATGAAAATGAAAGATAGATTCTAAGCTTTCGAGAGGCTTAGATCTTTCCTACTTGGCTCAGCCAATTTACTCAATATTTTTCATACCCAATACCTCCTACCTCTTCTCTATTTTTAAGTATTTTATAACCAAACATAACAGAATTTGTTACTATTAACTATTCTCAATTCTTCTAGATCCTTCTAGAATGCTCGAGCTGAATAGGGGTCTATCAAATACATGCGAGAATTAAAGTAATAGTGCTATAAGCGTGAATTGTGAAGTACTGGGGGGATTGCATCTATGTCTAGGAATCGGCTTTTACCCTTACGTTATTATGTTTCTAATTCCCACCACTTATCAATATGCCCAATCGGGATAAGGCACGTGATTTAAGTTCTCAGTTATAACGTGTGAATGCACGAACAGATATCAGGAAATCTGTATATTTAACAAGCATTTGCAGAAACATTGATCCAATACATCAGTGGCACAGCTCACTCAAACTAATGTTTTTTCTTAAAGACGAAGACCAGCCAACACCACCAACCCATAAAAGGAAAAAGAAAAAGAAAAACATAATTATACCAAAAGGAAAGAGCAAGTGCAAAGTGTCAAGGAACGCATACTAAATAAAAGTGAGAAAATGTGGCTTCAGACCTATCATCGTCAATACTAATTATTACATATATGTGTCGAGAAACTCTCTGACCTAATTGGAACCCATAATGAGTAGCTCATTCACTGGTATACCACTATTATAAAAGATAAGTAATGCTAAATAGCACCAATAGTGCTAAGAAACAGTTTTCGTGCGGGTCTATTGTTTTATTATGCAATGAAGTTGGGATACATTTGAATCATTGGACAAAGCCACTAGTGCTTAGCACCACTGGTGCTACATAGCCTTATTCATTAAAGATATACCACCAGTCGATGATGAGATTCAACTCTATGTATGTGCTGTCTAAATATGTCAAGAAGCTAGTATAGAGAAACTTGTATGGAACATAGAATATTTCCTCTTCTAGTATGACAACAAACTAAGGAAGCCAATACATTTAAATGCCAAATAATTCTATCATTGTTAGAAGATCCATACCATATCCTTACATTTAAACCGCCCACTAGGTAAAAGAATAGAGCTTTTCCCAGCTTTTGATGATAGAGGTAGTCTAAAGCAACGATTCCTAGAATAGACAGCTGTATCCACGAAAAGCTGGCATTGATTATCAGCAGAGCTTGCATCCTTTGAGATGAACAGATTTTTGAATCTTCCATCAGTTTCCTTATAAAGATAAGCCCTTGAACATATCTGACAATGAGGCAGGAAGAAGGCGGCAAGTAATTGGAGCTTGAGGGAAGAAAATAACAACAGAAAGCATCGATACTCATTGCAGTGTTAAAATAGATTGTAATGATTATCCTAATCACAGAAATAAAAGGACACAGTTAAAATTATTGCATAAATGAAGCGCCAGCAATGACACTGCATTTATGTTGAACAATAATAAGATGCCACAGTACAATTGCTGCAAGTGAAAATTACTCCAAATTTGTGACACACCTCAGAAACAAATGCACCAGCATGTGAATTGTCTTTGAAGGCAGCCTTAGGTAAGCGGATGAGTAAATGACGAGAGAACTTTTCTGACAATAAAAAACATAGGCAAAAAATGGATATAAATTATTAATGAACATCACATGGATAAAGTTAAATTCATGTATATAGAATCAGATCATCACTCTTATAACCATTTGTCTGTCACACTTCCAACAAAATATGGCAATATGGAACACAAAAAAATATCTGAAAAGGATTTGCAAAGCCCATTTAAATTTATAAATGCAATCAAAAGAACATAGATTTACAGTTAATTTTCAAAAAAGTCCTGTGAGACATTCAGTAATGTTAATACCGTCCGTAGATGAATCAAGTTCTACTACCCAATCCTTGTTTCCTGCGATAGAATACTTCTCAAGTAGCGCATCAAAGACAAGAGTCAGCAGGAAATCCACCATTTCATCTCCATTTTTGTTAGGATTTTCTCGCTTGTTGAACTCCAAATCAAAATAGAGGTGGCATGGTAACCCCTGAAAGTCGAACATAATTCTCGTGAGTAACATTCAACCACCCCCCCACCCCAAAAAAAAAAACCCAAAATAATCATCAAATTAAACCAAATTTTGGAATACCAAAAAAAAAAAAAAACCCACACACGCACACCAAAAACCCACAAACAAGGAAAGGGAAAAATCCACAGAGACGGAAAAATAAACATAAAGACCTTACCAAAAATTTCCAATAAGGGATCAAAAACAGCAAGAACAACTTAAAGCAAATAACTACACATATTTTAGCCAATGCTGCAGTTCACTATGTTTAACAAGATTTTAACACTTTAAATAGAAAATGCAAAGATGGTTACCTGCTGAATAACTTCGTAATGGTGGCGAAATTTAGGATTCATCTCTTTATACCTAAGAAGATCAATATAGCAATAGCAAACAAGAAGTTATCAGCATGAGGAATGCATTAAGAAATAATTATGTTCAAACTGAAAAGACAATTCAGAAATTACCTTCTCCAAAATTCCTTGTACGTTGAAACGAGAAACCTTCTCTGGCCATTCATATGATCCTGAAAACTAAAAACACGTGCATTTGAACGCTCTTTAGCGTACTTCATCGCTTCCTCCTGCCTTGGAAAGGTAGCCCAAAATTCTTCTCTAAAACAAGCATAAAACAAAACGAATAATTCACTAAGTTCAAATTAAACACAACAGAATAAAAATCGTAAAAAAATTAAACTACCTCAATTTAGTTTGTTCCGAGAGATCAACACGTATTTCCTGCAACAATCGCAGCAATCGAGCAGGCCGCTTTGGAGGCACGCCGTGAGGTGAACCATAAAACACCATCGGAGAGAACTGTTTGTCATTGCCCGGAATTTTACAATTTTTTGTCGTCGGAGTTTCAGAAAATGAAGATTTTTCTTGTTTTGGTGAAGATTCTTGATTCAATTTTCGTTTTTCCTTTTTTCTTTCTCTGATTGCAGATTCTGAAACATAAAAAATAAAAAACACAATCTATTAACTCAATTTCCAGATTATAGAACCAAAATCAGCAAAAAAGCGTTGAACTTTTTGTACGTACGAGGAGGAGAGAGGCCGCATTTGAAGCACTGGAGTAGGCGGTCTACATCGTCCATGTAGTTTTTGAATTTTCCAGCGAAGGGCGCGTCGTGCAATTTGCATACGCTATCCTTGGTTGTGCAGTTGTGCTCTTGAACGGAGTTAATATTTTTATTTATTTATTTATTTATTTTTGGAATTGCGATGGAGGGCGTACACTTTGTGGAAATTGTTTTTCAGCGGGAGTAAGTGACGATGGGCTACGAGAAAAATAAATTTAGCCCCATTTTCTTGCAAAAAATGCATTTTGAAATAGTAATTTAACGGAGAATATGTGATTGAAAATAAGAGTGGAAAAAATGTATTTTAGAAATAATGGATATCAAATGGACTGTTGCTTTTTTTATCATTATTCAACTTAATTTGACAAGAAGTCAGGTCATAAGATGAGATTTTCCCAATCTACCCCACTCATTACACGCCTCACACTATTAATAATAGAGGTGAGAGAAATAAGCAGCCTGGAGAAGAAAATGGTAATTCAGTGCCAAAAATTTATTATTACCGTGCAAGGGGAAGCGGCCAGTGGGCCCGGGGATTTGACATGAAAATTGATTTTTGATTCCAAAAGTGCGCCCAGACAATGTGTTTTAGGGTTAAAACAAAACTTTGGATACAAGCTTATGGATTGCTCAAGGTATCTTCATTCAATAAATTTGAAGTTGAGTCAATAATCGAAAATTTTTGCTCCTCTTTGTATTTATGTCGTCAATGATCTTCTTTGTGATAGTCTGTACCACGAAGTTGGCCGACTTAGATTGTAATGAGTTAAAATGGGGATTCAACCAAAATAAAGCATTTTTTTTATTATAAAGCTAATGAGTTGTTGCAATAACTTCGATCCAAATGAACCCCTATCAAACATTCAAATCAATGTTAGCCTTTTCCATTAACAAAGCACAACTTAGACCTTCAAAAGTTTGAAGGGTCAAATGTATTTTGATAGAATATGTGCACTCCCCATGTTTCGGATCTTAACGTAACGGGCAATTTTATGGTTTTCAATAATTAACGTGCATGATTTTATATCCAAGACTGGGTTTTGCTCATAATTTTTTTTTTCCATTTTTTGCGGAGTTAGTCTAATAAATTTGATCAGTACAGGAAGAGCTGTCATCTTTCAATAAAGACAAATAATTTTGTCATGGCTTGCCCCTTTTCACAAGGGATCAATATAAAAAGAAAAAGAAAAAAAGGCAACTCTTTCTTGTATCTTTTTGTTTGTTTAGAATTCGATTATTGCCAAAACATTACATGCTAGCTGGGAACCTTTATTGAAAGATACAGTTAAAATGCCTAATTCAAATTTATTAAAAATAATATATATTTTTTTCGCCCCTTCCCATCCGTGCATCATCTAACATTCCTCCATCACTCAGTCTTTCAAGAAACACGACAATAAAAGGTAACTANTCTTTCAAGAAACACGACAATAAAAGGTAACTATTAATCTCTAAAGAGGCCTGAATAGGAAAAAGATTGGCGTAAATAGAATTAAATTTATTAGCGCCCCAATTGTTTCGGATTAAAATCTGATTTTAATTTAAATCAAAGTCAAACAATTAATATTAACAACATCTTGGTCCAACAATTTTTCATCCATATATTTCAAAAACTTCTATTACAATATGCTAAAAATCTAATTTTAGTCTCCACCAAACCCCGCTAAATTACGAGGATTATTAAGGATAAGACAAAATTAGATAAAGAGCTCTATTAACAAAGATCAAAGGTCTCACTCTCAAACATCCAAGAAAGCTCATTCATGAATTAAATCCTAGTTTTCAACAAATAACACATGAATTGGGATCCTCCTCCACACTTCTAGCAAAATATGGATGTTGATAATATGGAGGATAGGCCATCGGCAGCTGTACAACAACTTGTTTTGGACCTTCTTTTTTCTTGTCATCTTCTTTCTTGCCTTCCTCTTTTTTGGGTTCTTCCTTTTTCTTCTCAGGCTCTTTTGCCGGCCCGACCGACACAATTTCTGTACCACAGAGCTTCCTCAGTTTGGCCACCACCTTAACCGGATCTATGTCTCCGGTTATTGTCAGCTTCTTGTCCTTCGGATCCATGGCAATAGATTCTTGGGGACTTTTAAATTCTTTTGGGAACTTATTAAATTTTGTGGTATTTACTGTTTTGATGTTTTAAGGTCTGGATTTTCTTGAAATCTAATCAATTAACTCTTTTGCTCGTGAAACGACCAGACGATGATTACCTGAGAGGCCAGAGACTGTTTTCATGGCTTTTTGCTTGATTTTCTCATCGACAAATTCCAATTTCAACACAACTTTCTGTAATTACCATAACAAAAAAGCAAAAGATCTAAATTAGGAAACGTTCGCCGTAAATTCAAGATTTAAAATACAATTATGATTATGCTCAAACAACACTAATTAAATGATTAAGCATAAACAAAATACAGAAAGATCTAAATTAGGAAAAGACCACAAAATTTCATCCCTGAAAATATAATTAAAACTAATTATGGTTAATCAACACTAATTAAATGATTTTAACATAGATATTCACAAACAATAACTTAATATTCTTTGATTTCCTGCGTGGAGATTCACTGAGGAATAAACAAGATCCATCAAAAGTGTTTCAGAATAATCAGACGTCAGGAAAAAAAAGTTAAGAAAAGAAAAACTTTTTCAACCTCATAAAACTTATGCTCAAGAATCAGAATCTAAACAAAAGCATATGAAATTACTAAAAGACAGTGATTAACCTGCATCCTTGTTTTCTGAAACTTCGAGATCTGAGTTAAAAAAAATTCTTGAAAAAAGTTGCAGACAAAAGCTGGCTTAATAAGAAGAGGAAAAAGAATAAAGAACGGATAAATCCAAGAAAAGAAGGGCTGTGTTATGAACTTGCTTAACTGAGTTTGGAGCCGATTTATAGCACGAAGGTTAGGACACTAACAGAGTCAACTCGAGTCAAGGGCATAGGTCCGCGGTCAATATTTTCGTTCTACGATTTTCAAGCCTTATGTGTTGCAAGGAAGGTTCGTCAAATTCGTGACGTCGATCTTCTCAATTCGAACAAATTGCACCACCAGTCCTCAACTTATTTCATTAAAAGTTAATGAAATAAGTTGACTTTCACGTAATTACATAATTACATTACGAGTAAGCCCCTATTTGAGTCACGTTAAAATTTTCATTCACATTCTTCTATCCATTTTCAATCACACATTTTTCAATAAAATAATATTTTTTATCAAATCAATAAATTTTCCTTCTTTTTCAACAACACATTCTCCATCAATTCATTATTCCAAAATACATTCTTACAAAATAATGTGGCTCAAACATACCTAAATCTAAATTGTCAAGTGATTCTTTGTATTTATAACCGTTATTTGGTCTCCATTACAGTAAATTCTCAATAAATGAATATTCGATAAACTAATAATCTTGCATAAAAAAATCTTTGATCCTAACTTGAGTTAGTTTACTAAATTAATAACCCATTAAATACATAATATTATTTTTTTATTATTTTTTTGAAATCCTTTAAAACCAACCGAATATATAAAATAATAAATACTTAAATTCAGAAAAGTTTATACTAATACAATTTAACAAATTTAATTTGACAATATTTTCATCAATTCGTCTCTTGTTCAAAATATGCATCTAAAGTCTTTTGTTTTTTATTTGTACCCAAAGCAAATTCAACTTTATTCTTAATTTTTTGCAATACACATGCTATATTTGGCATATTTGTTTTCATTTTGTACAAATTAATTATTTAAGGTTACAACTGCTTGAAATGCCTCTTTTAAAGAAACAGTTAGGACATGTTTGATATGCATTTTTTTCCTTGGAAAATGGAATTGAAATTCCATTTCTCACTTTTGCTATGTTTAATAGCCAAAAATTTCCATGAAAAATATTTTCCTCCCACCACCACCACGTGGCCCCTTTTTCCATGTTTTTGTTGATTTGGTTTTCCCACTACTTTGGTGGGAAAATGATTTCCAGCTTTTTTTTTTATACAATGAAAACAAATTCTATGGACAATTGTAAAAAAAATAAAATCCCTTTAATGGATAATTTCCATGAAAAACAATGTCAAACGAATACCAAAATTTCAAAATTTCAACATTTTTTAGATGAAAAATTATACCAATCGAATACAACTAATTGACAATTCTCAGGAAAACAATTATAGACAATTCAATTCACTGTGATTCATTTTATTTCTACCCAAATTTCACGCTTGCAATTAAACAAACCTTTAGTAAAACATAATTATCATATGGATCGTGATCATTGCTGATAGGTGTATTGAGTACCCCCATGAATAATATGTTCATTAGTATGAGATTTCATCACTGATTCATTTTCACTAGAATAGTGTAAAATGTGCTCAACATCCATCAAATTCCTATAGCGTACACAAAAAATAGTTTCACACAATTCGTTGATTCTTTCGTCTTCACTAACTTTTGGTTCAATATTAATATCTTTATTTGATTGAATCTTGTAGATTGTTTTTTACTCGTTTCAAATGAAACAACATAGTAGAAAAAATGTATGAAATTTGGAATGACTGGGGGTCTTAAGTTAAAACTAATTACTATAGAAATTTTATTTCATGTGTACATGAAATAATTTGAACGATTAATATTTCAAGATATTAAATTTTGAAATCTTGTACAGTAATGTTTCCTCTTCAATGTAATTATGTGTGCCTTACATCCATTATAGGTAATAAGAAATAATCGTGCTACAAGTTATTAAAGTATAAAATACTCCATAAATTAATAAATATTCATTTATCGATAAATTAATAACTATATTAAAATAATAATATTTCTCAATCCCAACAATAATATTATTTTATAGAGGTTTTACTGTATTTCCAAAATATATTTTTCTCTTTTATTTTCAACCACACATTTTTCGATAAAATAATATTATACACAAACTCAAATGTTTTCCTTATTTTTTAATCATACATTCTCTATCAAAATACTATTTCAAGATACATTTTGAAC